AGAGATGAAAAGAAGGAAAGTGGCTACCGCCGCAGCAATAAATCCCAATATGTTTATAGACTTTTCCATCATTAGTCACTACTCGGTACTTTCCACTATTCGGGGTTGATTTTTTCCCTGCTCTTTGCGAAGGCAAAAAGATCGTAGGGAATAAGTAATCGGGTTTGGATATATGAGGTGGCCCGACGGTCCTACGTTGATGGCAAAAGTCTGCTCCTTCGCAATATAGACCACTCGCCTATAATTATGTGTATATGAGGCGTCTGTTATGCTGCGCGCGACGCTAGCCATGTGTTAATTAATTACAGTGAAGTTCCTCCTTCGCAAAGTTATTTTCCGCAATATTCTGGATTCATTTATTGTTGATGCGCGGCGCTACATTGGTCAAATGAATCGTCAATTTTTACCATGCACGAATCCCACTCATTTATAAAAAACATAGTATGTAAATTAAATATGTTGCACTTTTTTGCACTCACACTTTTCACTCAAAAGAATTAATAGTACAAGTACATCGTAGGGCCGGGAAAATTGATCGTGCGTGGTTTAACCGCGGCGAAATTCTTGTTTCTCTTAAGTTGTTTTTCGGTTTTATCAGGAGATGTACATATTAATTCAACGAGGTATGGATTTAGCAAAGTGAATAATAAATAAAAACGACGATCAAACATATTCGACTGTTCAGCATGGCATATTACTATTAGATCATTAAATTACAGGTTAATTCCCTCATTTGAGTCATGACCCAACTTCTCAACGGTGTTAAAATATTACTGGGTCAGGACCTTTAATAGCTTCGTCGACACATAACAGGGGAGATAATAGATCCAATTAAACCTAACAACTTAAGCGCGTGTAAATAATTGAGACCATGAAAAAGGGCGGTAACTGGTAAAAGTAAAAACTTTAAAATAGCGCGTTAAATAATGTAATCGCAACGAACAAAGTTCCGTATATAAAAGTAAATGAGACATTTTCGTGAGGCTGGCGGCTGCTAGTGAGCTTTCTGACTATAAACGCATTAAGGAAGAATTGGAACTCAGCTGACACGGTTTCATATCCTGCGATTGCTATGAAAATTGGTACCGAATGGACTTTCGTCTAAACTAAAAGCAAGCTCTCAAGTAAAAACGGACAAACGTCAAAATACATCCTCGCAAATTACATTTAAATAAAATTTTCTCTTGTTTGTCGGTAATAATTTCTGCGGGGTCTGGTTAGCTGAGTCGAAGATGCAAAGTAAAGTAGTAAATTAAAGGGAGCAGCTAATTGACAATTCTTCTCGAACAAAGGGAATAGCTAATTGACAATTCTTCTCGAACTTTGCAAATGGAGCAGCTAATTGACAATTCTTCTCGAACTTTGCAAAGACATGACATGACATGGTAAGGTCTCCTCCTAGTCGTTAGAGTGGCCTGCATCACTAATTGACAATTATTCTCGAACTTGTTTTTGTGGGAATTTTACCTGACTGTTAATTATAAATCTGCACTAAAAACGTCAAAAGACCGATTGCAGCGGTTTTCTAGAACATTTATAAATATTAGTGATGTTCCTTACCCTAAAAACTTATAGTTATTGGGGTTGAAATGAGAGAATGGAGAAGCTCACAAGAAATATTCCTTGCTAGCACTATATATACTAATAATACAGGTGCTTGTAATATTCCTTGCTAGCACTAATAATACAGGTGCTTGTGACGATTTAACGATAAAATGACACATTCCACGTGTCTGGCCATATCACTTGGGATTATTAATATTTCTTTTTTTATCTCAACACTTATTTTACTTCGGACATTCCAACAGCCACATTGTTACACAAGTGTGTAACCAGCCAATTACAGGAAGCCGAAGGCTAGTGACAGAGTCGGGAATCGAACCTGGTACCTCAAGCAGTACCATGCGGATTAACCAACTGAGCCACTAAGCCGTAATTTGTTTTGGTAGTTAGGATCTGGGTAGTTCTAGAGGAAAATTATATCTCAAGAGCTGACTCACTGCAAGGAGAACTAGGAGCGAGTAGGAGAGTAAAGAGAATTTGAATCAGGGTAGATTCTTGTTTTTCTAAAATTCAAATTTCATTTTATTATTCCCCGGTCCTTGGTCGCTCAGCAGGTGGTATCGAAATTAACAATTTTCGAAGTATTGCCAAGCAGGTTCACTAGCATTTACAAGCAGGTTCACTAGCATTTACAAGCAGATTCACTAGCATTTACAAGCAGGTTCACTAGCATTTACGATTAATACGACGGTATTGCCAAGCAGGTTCACTAGCATTTACGATTAATTCGACGGTATTGCCAAGCAGGTTCACTAGCATTTACGAGTAATACGACGGAAAAATAGTTCAAATTTAAAATCCAATCAACTATGTGTTATTGTAGTTTTAAACTAAATAATCCGAAATCCATCAAAATGTCACGTGACTTAAAAGAAATGCCTGACTATAAAGAAATGCCTGACCATAAAGAAATGCCTGACCATAAAGAAATGCCTGACCATAAGGAAATGCCCGACCATAAGGAAATGCCTGACCATAAAGAAATGCCTGACCATAAGGAAATGCCCGACCATAAAGAAAAGCCTGACCATAAAGAAATGCCTGACCATAAAGAAATGCCAGACCATGGGGAGCTGACAGACTGGTTTGATGTTAACTCAGGCACAGGTCAGGGTGACATTCAAGCACCTCCTGTCTTTAATTTCTGCCTAAACTTTTCTGCATTTCTGGCTGAGACCAACAAGATCATCAGTCAAGGCGCAGTGCTGCAGAAAGAGATGAAGACGGTCGAGGAAAAGGTCATTCTGGACACCGATTATGCTGATGACATGGCTATTATGGACAACTCAGGGGAAGGCCTACAGGAATCAACTGATCTATTAGTTCATTACAGCTCCTACGCTGGGCTCAGAATAAATGCAAAGAAGACCCAATGCATGGCTGTAAGCAAGTGCGCCTCCCAGCGACCTTTCATCAAGGATGATTGTATTGAGCTGTCGGTTGAGGGTGAACCCGTCGAGCAGGTTAGCAACTTTGTCTACCTGGGTGCAACTATTAGTGGGGATGGGACAATCAACAGAGACCTGGATGTCCGTATCCAGAAGGCTAATGGCGCCTTTCATCAGCTCTGGAACATTTGGAATAGCAGAACTATAAAGACTCCAACCAAGATCAGGATCTATAGGGCTGCTGTCCTCACCATCTTGTTGTATGGAGCTGAAGTCTGGAACACCACCAAAAAGCAGATGAAACGTTTCGAGGTTTTCCATCAAACCTCCTTGAGAAGGATCCTTAGGATTAAACGGTTCTTTCATGTAACCAACGACGAAGTTCTTAGGAGGGCTGGCATCAAGTCAGTTGAGACTTTCATCAGTGCTGCCAGGCTACGTTGGTATGGACATGTAGTTAGAATGCCAGACTCTAGACTACCGAGGTTTCTGTTGAACTGGAAGCCAAACTATGGAAAGAGGTCAAGGGGCAGACCCCGTAAGAACTGGAAGTCCTGCGTACTCGAAGATGCTGCTAAGTTTACAGGTGTTGAAAACATCGACAACGACACAACAGAAGCTTTGGCTACCAACCGAGTACAGTGGAGACATATGTTACGCCGCCAACGCGATGTGTGTGATGCAGGCCACTCCAACGACTAGGAGGAGACCTTACCATGTAACATGTTTGTAACGCTCATTCATAACATTTAAATACATATTGGAAATGTTAGCTGCTGACTATCTTGACGTATAATTAATATGTAGGGGACCCGTTTCTTTAACGTCTAAACAAAGAAGGCATTATAGTTTATTGTAACAATACATAAGGGTATATAATTGTTAACCCTCATTCAAAGTATGGAGTACTAACGATCAGTTCTGTAAGATTAAAGTCCTCCCCCTCCTTGCTGTCGCCAGTATATTCTCGTTATCTTTACAATCTAAATAAATTGAGCAACATAGAGCAACAGTAATTATAATGTAATTTGTCAAAGTTGACACTAGTTCTAGTGTCATAACTTGAGAATGCAGCTATCTTATGTAATTATATTGTCGCGAAAGCTGTCTCCTTAACAGGCTAAGTTGGTAGTGTTACTATGGTAACGAGTTGTCTTCATTAACATAAACAGGCCTACAATTTTAAAGTGTCTGCATTTCTTCAGTTTTGGAACCAATTCATGCACGTTAGAAATCCAAGTCACTGTCCCGGGAAAAATTATGCATTTAGGCGTGGATATAAAAAATCTAAAATTATTTTCCTCACTCTTACCCAGGGGTCGACCGGGATCGGAATTTTGTCCCGGCCGGGACCGGGCCGGGATGATCCTCATCCCGGCCGTGACCGGGACTGGGATGAAACTGAAATCCCGGCCGGGACCGGGATCAGCTTAATCCCGGCCGGTACCGGGATTTTCACGATATTTCTATGTTGAAATGGAACATTTTAAGCAACCTTCGTATAAAGGGTCCATTGACCAATCTAATAAGTACTAACTAACATTGATATCAACATCGTTATATCTTCGGATGAAGATGAGCCTGAAATCTAATCAATCCTTCAAGTTTCGATTTTCATTTCGATTAGTTCGATTCTTAACAGTCGTTACATTTGTCTAAGTCAAAGTAATAAAATATGAATTTGAAGCTAAATTGGATTAAAAAGTTCGAAATTCTGTTTTTAAAATCCCGGCTAATATCCCGGCTAAAACAGTAATCCCGGCCGGGACCGGGACAATAACACAAAATCCCGGCCGGTATCCCGGTCGAGCTCTACTCTTACCTTCAATTCCTCTATCCTATTTTCTGCATCCCTCTTTCTCTCTCGCCCTACATTTAGAACAAATGAAGTTTACACTAGTCGAATTGAAGAATATGTATTCTAAGTTGATAGTTCTGTTAACATCTTTCATTTGGTATAAATGATACCAAGTAAAATCGTGCGAAATAACATTAACTACTCTACAGGTAGAAATAACATTAACTACTCTAACGCATGTATTTCTACAGGTGATGACCCGTTGTCAGCTCTTGGTCTAATAAAGACGGTGTACCCTGATATCGAAGGAGAGGACTTAGAGTTGACGCCTCCGAGCAGGGCAAAACGATCAGGATCCTTGAAAAGCGGGGAATTCAATATAGAGTGGGACTCTGCCGGAGAGGACTCTGCCATATAGATTATAGAGTCTCATTAAGATCGTTCAAAAACAGTAAAACCTCGATTTACCACAAACTTAGGTTTAACTGTCACCAAGATGTAACTAGGTCGAACGGAGATATTAGGTCTCACGCAGGAATTAGGTCTCACGCAGGAATTAGATCTCACGCAGGCGCGTGATATACATATAAATACACTTAAAAGCCGCGCCTGCGTGAGACCTAATTCCTGCGTGAGACCTAATTTTTCCGTTCGACCTAGTTACATTTTGGTGACAGTAAGAATATATACGTGCGTGTTGTTGATAAGGTAAAATTTGCGATGATAAATAAAAAGAAATATGATTTATCTATTTATGGAGAGTTAACATACATGCTACATGAAGAGGTCTCCTCCTAGTCATTAGAGTTAATACTATTTTAATTAATTTAGCAAAAGAATTGCGGCATTAATCAGCCAAAATATTTACGCTCGAATTCCACCGCTAAAGATCTAGGGTACTGACTCTCGCCTCATTAATCATATTCATTATACATTAACATAAATTAGATGGAAGTTGACCGCCAAGATTGAGCGACTTATTTATTGGGTGATTTATTTAATAAGCTATATTTCCCGTCACACACAGTGTCACGTGTTACCATGGTAACACATACCAGTGTCTGCTATTTCTACTCTCATTATCATTCTTGTCAGTCAGTCTACTTTAGAAGATCTCGCCATCTAACTAATTCTTACCTTACAACTATACTATCTGTGTTGGATTGTCCATGTTGTTTACCAGGTTACCTGGTTACCTGGTTACCTGGTTACCTGGTTACCTGGTTACCTGGTTACCTGGTTACCTGGTTACCTGGTTACCTGGTTACCTGGTTACAAGATCTCGCCATCTAACTAATTCTTACCTTACAACTAGACTATCTGTGTTGGATTGTCCATATTGTTTACCTGGTTACCTGGTTACCTGGTTACCTGGTTACCTGATTACCTGGTTACCTGGTTACCTGGTTACCTGGTTACAAGATCTCGCCATCTAACTAATTCTTACCTTACTACTAGACTATCTGTGTTGGATTGTCCATATTGTTTACCTGATTACCCGATTACCTGGTTACCAGGTTACCTGGTTACCTGGTTACCTGGTTACCTGGTTACCTGGTTACCTGGTTACAAGATCTCGCCATCTAACTAATTCTTACCTTACAACTAGACTATCTGTGTTGGATTGCCCATATTGTTTACCAGGTTACCTGGTTACCTGGTTACCTGGTTACCTGGTTACCTGGTTACCTGGTTACCTGGTTACCTGGTTACAAGATCTCGCCATCTAACTAATTCTTACCTTACAACTAGACTAACTGTGTTGGATTGCCCATATTGTTTACCAGGTTACCTGGTTACCTGGTTACCTGGTTACCTGGTTACCTGGTTACCTGATTACCTGGTTACAAGATCTCGCCATCTAACTAATTCTTACCTTACTACTAGCCTATCTGTGTTGGATTGCCCATATTGTTTACCAGGTTACCTGGTTACCTGGTTACCTGGTTACCTGGTTACCTGGTTACCTGGTTACCTGGTTACAAGATCTCGCCATCTAACTAATTCTTACCTTACAACTATACTATCTGTGTTGGATTGCCCATATTGTTTACCTGGTTACCTGGTTACCTGGTTACCTGATTACCTGGTTACCTGGTTACCTGGTTACCTGGTTACCTGGTTACAAGATCTCGCCATCTAACTAATTCTTACCTTACAACTATACTATCTGTGTTGGATTGCCCATATTGTTTACCTGGTTACCTGGTTACCTGATTACCTGGTTACCTGGTTACAAGATCTCGCCATCTAACTAATTCTTACCTTACAACTAGACTATCTGTGTTGGATTGCCCATATTGTTTACTAGGTTACCTGGTTACCTGGTTACCTGGTTACCTGGTTACCTGGTTACCTGGTTACCTGGTTACTTGGTTACAAGATCTCGCCATCTAACTAATTCTTACCTTACTACTAGCCTATCTGTGTTGGATTGCCCATATTGTTTACCAGGTTACCTGGTTACCTGATTACCTGGTTACCTGGTTACCTGATTACCTGGTTACCTGGTTATCTGGTTACAAGATCTCGCCATCTAACTAATTCTTACCTTACAACTAGACTATCTGTGTTGGATTGCCCATATTGTTTACCAGGTTACCTGGTTACCTGGTTACCTGGTTACCTGGTTACCTGGTTACCTGATTACCTGGTTACCTGGTTACAAGATCTCGCCATCTAACTAATTCTTACCTTACTACTAGCCTATCTGTGTTGGATTGCCCATATTGTTTACCAGGTTACCTGGTTACCTGGTTACCTGGTTACCTGATTACCTGGTTACCTGGTTACCTGGTTACAAGATCTCGCCATCTAACTAATTCTTACCTTACAACTAGACTATCTGTGTTGGATTGCCCATATTGTTTACCTGGTTACCTGGTTACCTGGTTACCTGGTTACCTGATTACCTGGTTACCTGGTTACCTGGTTACAAGATCTTGCCATCTAACTAATTCTTACCTTACAACTAGACTATCTGTGTTGGATTGCCCATATTGTTTACCTGGTTACCTGGTTACCTGGTTACCTGATTACCTGATTACCTGGTTACCTGGTTACCTGGTTACAAGATCTCGCCATCTAACTAATTCTTACCTTACAACTAGACTATCTGTGTTGGATTGCCCATATTGTTTACCTGGTTACCTGGTTACCTGGTTACCTGGTTACCTGGTTACCTGGTTACCTGGTTACCTGGTTACAAGATCTCGCCATCTAACTAATTCTTACCTTACAACTAGACTATCTGTGTTGGATTGCCCATATTGTTTACCAGGTTACCTGGTTACCTGGTTACCTGGTTACCTGGTTACCTGGTTACCTGGTTACAAGATCTCGCCATCTAACTAATTCTTACCTTACAACTAGACTATCTGTGTTGGATTGCCCATATTGTTTACCAGGTTACCTGGTTACCTGGTTACCTGGTTACCTGGTTACCTGGTTACCTGGTTACCTGGTTACAAGATCTCGCCATCTAACTAATTCTTACCTTACTACTAGCCTATCTGTGTTGGATTGCCCATATTGTTTACCAGGTTACCTGGTTACCTGGTTACCTGGTTACCTGGTTACCTGGTTACCTGGTTACCTGGTTACCTGGTTACAAGATCTCGCCATCTAACTAATTCTTACCTTACTACTAGCCTATCTGTGTTGGATTGCCCATATTGTTTACCAGGTTACCTGGTTACCTGGTTACCTGGTTACCTGATTACCTGGTTACCTGGTTACCTGGTTACAAGATCTCGCAATCTAACTAATTCTTACCTTACAACTAGACTATCTGTGTTGGATTGCCCATATTGTTTACCAGGTTACCTGGTTACCTGGTTACCTGGTTACCTGATTACCTGGTTACCTGGTTACAAGATCTCGCCATCTAACTAATTCTTACCTTACAACTTACCTGGGGACCCCAGGCTATTATGTTCATAAACATAAAGATTCGGCGGAATGACAGGCTGAGCGCCGCCCAGTAACTTACAACTAGACTAGTTGGATTTTCCATATTGTTGATACTGTGTAATTTGTATACTGTAGATAATATCAATTGTGGAGATGGGATATTTGTAATTATTTAAAGTTGATTTGTATTCTATCTTTATACCCTCATTTTACATTGATACACAAAATGATAATCTTTTGTTTCAATCGCTCGCTCGTTTCAATAGAAGATGCGTTTTATATAACTGCCCACAGGGATGGTACTATTCTCCCGATGACAGTTTGGCAGACACCCTTCGCTGCCTGCTAGTCCTCTGGGAGCATATATCTCAACTTGCTGCCTGCTAGGCCTAGTCCTATATCTCAACTTGGCCCGGAACAGTTCAGATTTTACATTGAGTCGGGGATTTTGACTTTCAGTACTATACCTCAATTTCGTCTCAACCTCACTTAGCTGACTAATTGGTCCCTTCGCAAAAAGTCCATCGAATCTGTCAAATTTGTGTTCAGAAACTTTCATTTTTGGAAATGGGACAGAATTTGAAAAATATGAATTTTCGTTTTGTAAAGCTTTCTGTAATGAGCTTCCTCCTAAAGTTGACTGACTAATTGGTTTCTGGAAAAAAATTCGGTCAAAACTGCTAAATTTCGGTCGTGGAAATTTCGTCTTCAAAATCTGAAAATGGGACAAGAAATGGGATAACATGATTTTTTCCATTTTGTCGGGGATTTTGACATTCAGTACCTCAATTTGGTCTCATATATACCAATACCATCCTCAGTTCGTTGATTAATTAGTCCCTGGGCAAAAAGTCCATCGAATTTGTCCATTGTCAAATTTGTGTTTCCTCGGACCGGAATCAAACTTTCAGCGCCTCAATTGTGTCATATACCATCTATAGTTGACTGACTAATTGTTTTCTGGAGAAAAATTCGGTAAAAACTGCAAAAAAATTTTTAACAAAAGAGTTTAGTTTAAAATGGTCCGAATAAAGTATACTTTAAAAATACAATGAATATAATTCATAATTCAAAATGGGATCAATTATTGACAGGGTTGGAAAAAGTCGAACAAATTGCTATAGTAAATGAATTTCATTTCACAAAATATAATTCGGATTCTGACTAATGTTAAAGTGAAAAGTAACAAAGTTTCAAACGGATGCTTTCAAAAAGTGATCGTTTTGGCTACGATCAAATTATCAAAAATTCTTAGACGGAAAATAACGATTGTGTTGCTTAGTTGATAAGTGTAATCTGAGTGGTATTCTGAATATATATCATCAATGCAGGTGATCTAAGAAGGAACGCATCGGTCGACGACAGAGTCCTTCCGAACGAAGATCTTGTTATTGGTCTTGTTGAAAAGACTGCTGTTGGTGGCTTGGCTGGTTCGGGAGGTGTACCTCGGGCTCATGAGTCGAGCACCTGCACTGGACCCCAGTATAGTCTTCCATTCAGAGTGAACCTCCGGTCGCAGGGGGACGAACAAGATGAAAATAAATAGACCCTGAAAAAGTAATGATGTTGACGAAGACGTGTTTAGCCTCATTTAATGGTCAGGTTTAATCCGGATGAATATTAACGTTCAGTGCAGAAATGGAGCAAATGCTTCAAAGCGAGCATGTAAGCCGAGTGAAATTGTCCAAACTGTGAAAAAAGAAACAGTCAAATATTATGATCACTGTAAAACAAGTAATTAAAGATTCTCTAAAAGTACCTGGGAGCAAGTGAAGATGATGAAGAGGTACTGAAAGACGAGAGCTTGAGGTCCGTAGGTAAAGAGGGATAAGAGGAAGGATACTCCAAAAAGCATGATTAGTGAGAGTATTGACTTGATGTGCCTCTGAGGAGAGATGCGTTACTGGGTGTTAGTGTTACTAAGGTGTTACTAAGGTGTTACTAGGTGTTACTAAGGTGTTACTAAGGTGTTGGGGCCGGGGGGGGGGGGGGGTATACTTAAATTATTGATTCAGCAAGTTAACGGAATCTGTTCAAGATAAAGGAATTATTAAATTACCGTTTGTATTTTCCACGTGTCGTCTTTGTCATCACCGCGATTGCTACTGGCTCTGATCATGATAATGACCACTCGGATGCCTAAGAAAGTGTTCACGGCAACAACTGCCAAAATCGGCACAATAAACGTATAGATCTTCCACGTCTCAGATATCCAGCAGCTGTTTAAGAAAACATGTTACCTAGCAACTAGCTATGTTACCTAGCAACTAGCTATGTTGCCTAGCAACTAGCTAGGAATCACACAATTTTTTATTTTTAATGAAATCGTTTTCACAAGTTGCTGTTTTTAATTGTAAACTATTTAAGTGATTGATCATTTATTCAATATAATTAGCAGGATCGTACTCAGTGGCGTGACGTTGCATGTTGCCCCCCCCCCCCCCCCCCCCCCCCTCTTAGAAAGGTAAAATATGTTTACCCAAATTCTCCATCCATGTCAGCGAGATAGTTGAGATGATGTTTGTCCGAGTAGATGAGAGCAAAGGAGGGGAAGATGAGAGGTAGGACCCAGCAGAGAACACAGGATATTTTGAAAGTGTGGTCGTAACTCTTGCCGTACGTGTGTATCGCCTTTACTATCTGTTGGAAATGTGGCAACTAAAATAGTGTCGTGAATTGTAGATATAACGAAGTTTCACATTTTGTACATACCTGTCTGTAGAATCTCAGTACGTATCTGTCTGTAGAATCTCAGTACGTATCTGTCTGTAAAATCTTAGTACGTATCTGTCTGTAGAATCTCAGTACGTACCTGTCTGTAGAATCTTAGTACGTACCTGTCTGTAGAATCTCAGTACGTACCTGTCTGTAGAATCTTAGTACGTACCTGTCTGTAGAATCTTAGTACGTACCTGTCTGTAGAATCTCAGTACGTACCTGTCTGTAGAATCTCAGTGCGTACCTGTCTGTAGAATCTTAGTACGTACCTGTCTGTAGAATCTCAGTACGTACCTGTCTGTAGAATCTTAGTACGTACCTGTCTGTAGAATCTTAGTACGTACCTGTCTGTAGAATCTCAGTACGTACCTGTCTGTAGAATCTTAGTACGTACCTGTCTGTAGAATCCCAGTACGTACCTGTCTGTAGAAGACGAGAGCAGCAACAAGGCTCCAGGCTATAGTAACGAGGTAGAGATACTGAACTCAGTACGTACCTGTCTGTAGAAGACGAGAGCAGCAACAAGGCTCCAGGCTATAGTAACGAGGTAGAGATACAGAACTCAGTACGTACCTGTCTGTAGAAGACGAGAGCAGCAACAAGGCTCCAGGCTGTAGTAACGAGGTAGAGATACTGAACTCAGTACGTACCTGTCTGTAGAAGACGAGGGCAGCAACAAGGCTCCAGGCTATAGTAACGAGGTAGAGATACTGAACTCAGTACGTACCTGTCTGTAGAAGACGAGGGCAGCAACAAGGCTCCAGGCTATAGTAACGAGGTAGAGATACTGAACTCAGTACGTACCTGTCTGTAGAAGACGAGGGCAGCAACAAGGCTCCAGGCTATAGTAACGAGGTAGAGATACTGAACTCAGTACGTACCTGTCTGTAGAAGACGAGAGCAGCAACAAGGCTCCAGGCTATAGTAACGAGGTAGAGATACAGAACTCAGTACGTACCTGTCTGTAGAAGACGAGAGCAGCAACAAGGCTCCAGGCTATAGTAACGAGGTAGAGATACTGAACTCAGTACGTACCTGTCTGTAGAAGACGAGAGCAGCAACAAGGCTCCAGGCTATAGTAACGAGGTAGAGATACTGAACTCAGTACGTACCTGTCTGTAGAAGACGAGAGCAGCAACAAGGCTCCAGGCTATAGTAACGAGGTAGAGATACTGAACTCAGTACGTACCTGTCTGTAGAAGACGAGGGCAGCAACAAGGCTCCAGGCTATAGTAACGAGGTAGAGATACTGAACTCAGTACGTACCTGTCTGTAGAAGACGAGGGCAGCAACAAGGCTCCAGGCTATAGTAACGAGGTAGAGATACTGAACTCAGTACGTACCTGTCTGTAGAAGACGAGAGCAGCAACAAGGCTCCAGGCTATAGTAACGAGGTAGAGATACTGAACTCAGTACGTACCTGTCTGTAGAAGACGAGAGCAGCAACAAGGCTCCAGGCTATAGTAACGAGGTAGAGATACTGAACTCAGTACGTACCTGTCTGTAGAAGACGAGAGCAGCAACAAGGCTCCAGGCTATAGTAACGAGGTAGAGATACTGAACTCAGTACGTACCTGTCTGTAGAAGACGAGAGCAGCAACAAGGCTCCAGGCTATAGTAACGAGGTAGAGATACTGAACTCAGTACGTACCTGTCTGTAGAAGACGAGAGCAGCAACAAGGCTCCAGGCTGTAGTAACGAGGTAGAGATACTGAACTCAGTACGTACCTGTCTGTAGAAGACGAGAGCAGCAACAAGGCTCCAGGCTATAGTAACGAGGTAGAGATACTGAACTCAGTACGTACCTGTCTGTAGAAGACGAGAGCAGCAACAAGGCTCCAGGCTATAGTAACGAGGTAGAGATACTGAACTCAGTACGTACCTGTCTGTAGAAGACGAGAGCAGCAACAAGGCTCCAGGCTATAGTAACGAGGTAGAGATACTGAACTCAGTACGTACCTGTCTGTAGAAGACGAGAGCAGCAACAAGGCTCCAGGCTATAGTAACGAGGTAGAGATACTGAACTCAGTACGTACCTGTCTGTAGAAGACGAGAGCAGCAACAAGGCTCCAGGCTATAGTAACGAGGTAGAGATACTGAACTCAGTACGTACCTGTCTGTAGAAGACGAGAGCAGCAACAAGGCTCCAGGCTATAGTAACGAGGTAGAGATACTGAACTCAGTACGTACCTGTCTGTAGAAGACGAGAGCAGCAACAAGGCTCCAGGCTATAGTAACGAGGTAGAGATACTGAACTCAGTACGTACCTGTCTGTAGAAGACGAGAGCAGCAACAAGGCTCCAGGCTATAGTAACGAGGTAGAGATACTGAACTCAGTACGTACCTGTCTGTAGAAGACGAGAGCAGCAACAAGGCTCCAGGCTGTAGTAACGAGGTAGAGATACTGAACTCAGTACGTACCTGTCTGTAGAAGACGAGAGCAGCAACAAGGCTCCAGGCTATAGTAACGAGGTAGAGATACTGAACTCAGTACGTACCTGTCTGTAGAAGACGAGAGCAGCAACAAGGCTCCAGGCTATAGTAACGAGGTAGAGATACTGAACTCAGTACGTACCTGTCTGTAGAAGACTAGAGCAGCAACAAGGCTCCAGGCTATAGTAACGAGGTAGAGATACTGAACTCAGTACGTACCTGTCTGTAGAAGACTAGAGCAGCAACAAGGCTCCAGGCTATAGTAACGAGGTAGAGATACTGAACTCAGTACGTACCTGTCTGTAGAAGACGAGAGCAGCAACAAGGCTCCAGGCTATAGTAACGAGGTAGAGATACTGAACTCAGTACGTACCTGTCTGTAGAAGACGAGAGCAGCAACAAGGCTCCAGGCGATAGTAACGAGGTAGAGATACTGAACTCCGAACACTAGACCCGTGCACACAGGGGACTGGTGTTGCGCGTGAGCTAGGGTTAGGAACGTTATGTTCGCTAGAATCAGCGCCGTCACCTCCATCAACTCCACTTGTACTATTAGTCTTTTTCTAAACGATCTGATCGGGATTATTGTTTCAGTCACACTATAAGTTTCCTGCCGTGATGATGGTAAACGGAGAGTGAATGGTGTTTTTGTGATACTTTCAGACAGACGAATTAAATTGTACACAAATTTAAAGCTAGTATACCTGATAGGGATGTAGACGAGTAGCGTGAAGACGAGAGTAATGATGGACAGGACGAAAAGGAGAGTTGTGATGACGGACTGGGTCTGTTTGTGTCCCTCCGGTACTTCACTTAGACTCTGAAAACAAGTAAATCATAAAACACATAACAGTCTAGAGTTAATGTAGATGCATTCATGAATATTAGTCCCTAAACAAACATTACTCAAATAACAAATTCCGTACATTTGAAATAACCACAATATGTCATGTAATCCTGTATGACCTATATCAATAAGGTCAGTAAGGTGTTTAACGTACAGTGAAGGCAGCGAAGCTGGTTAGGTGGTTGCACTGACAATGGAGGATATCTCCAGTGTACGCTGTCACGTGACAGCCTCTGGTCGACCAGGCTGATCTCTCTGGTATAATAGGGTGTGTGAGTTACTGACTTGGGATTATCATCCAGGGAGGAATTTATTATTTATACAGTTGGAAATCTTTATTGTATGAAAGATCTCAAGTTGATAGCTACGTGTTACAGTGTAACACGTAGTGTAACACTGTTACACCATGGTATAACACGTAGTGTAACACTGCTACACCCTGGTAGTGTAACACGTAGTAACACTGTTACACCCCGGATCTAGGATCTTATTACCTGTATCGTACCATCTGCACTCTGCGGTGCCTCCGAGCAGTACCTTCATGGTTAGGTCGATATTGAACCCCTCTTTTACTTCTTTCTCTTCTCCGTGCAGTTTTATGCTGAACACTTCCGATGTGATCAGATCAGTCCTGGAACTCTGAGACTCGAACAGCTTGGAATTGTGGTACACAATTGTAGAGAAAGTCGAGTTCTGAGTGATTGAAACCTGAAATTATAGAGATTTTAATTCGATTGTTTCAAATTCAAATATCATCTAGCGTGGGATTACTTTCCTAGCGAGGTTGTAAACTTGAATGGCAAAGACGGTCCCTTACAAAAGTTCAATATAAAGTATAACTCACCATCTGATCCTGACCAAGTTGTTTTGAAGGGCTACCCTGACGGTTTACACTTATCGAGATGTCGTCGGAGTTAAACCTCTCCAGGTTGTTATCTCCATTCTCAACCAAGAAACCTACACCTTCCTCTACAATCGACACAATCCTGCAAACAGTGGATTTAAAGCGACAAATAAGCGTCGACAAAGTGCGAAGATGTCTGAAAAAACGAAGCAAAGTTCAAGAGGTCCTAATAATAATAGTTGACTTTAACCTTTCTTTTGTAGACAAGTCCACGACGTGCTGCAGGGTTGTGTCGTAACTCGTAATCTTAACAGCAGTTTCTAATTTGCTGGTTGCTACCTGGGGTTAAAACATGGTTACTATAGTTACTAGTTACTATAGTTACTAGTAACTATAGTAACCACCTCAAAGACGTGCTGCAGGGTTGTGTCGTAACTCGTAATCTGAACTGCAGTTTCTAATTTGCTGGTTGCTACCTGGGATTAAAACATGGTTACTATAGTTACTAGTTACTATAGTAACTAGTTACTATAGTTATTAGTAACTATAGTAACCACCTCAAAGACGTGCTGCAGGGTTGTGTCGTAACTCGTAATCTGAACAGCAGTTTCTAATTTGCTGGTTGCTACCTGGGGTTAAAACTCAAGTTGAGCGAGTATGGTGTCATTTAAGTATGGTGTGTTTACCTGCTTGTTTTTAGGAGATATGGTCTCGATTGCTATGGCAACTTTCTTTATATCTTTGGGACCAAATTGGGAGATTTCCTCAGACACGATCTCCTTTATTGCTTCAACATCCTATAAAGATTTTAGCTTATTTTTTAGAGGGGCACAGCATTTATTCGATCAATTTTCCTCAATCACAACGATCACGAAAAGATACAAATTGGAGTTCCCTCATCACCAAACCTGATTATCATTGTTGTCCAAAACTTTGTTCAATTTTTCTGTGACTTGTGAGTTGCAATCCAGTAGAATCGGTTGCAACCAACTATCTTCTACACAACTTCTCAAGGCGATACCGCCGTGTTCGCATTTAACTTTAACCACTTTATTGTTGTCAGCCCGGGGCCATGTCACGGATCCAATGTTGGTGTACTCTATTGTATTAGCACCACACTCGAACACTGACGAATAATTCCGTTTAGATATTGTGTGTCATGGAGACTTCACTCAAAAGAAGTGTTCGTTTAATCTAAAAGAATACAGCGGGTATTTTACAGCTGTTTAATTCATGTTAATATTAATTGGTGGATGGTTGAGTCATGAATGGAAGATCAAATCAAATGGACTAACAGTCTTCTTGACAGGAGTGTTCGACAGAGTTAACAGTTCCCCGGCAGTGCGTACACGTGCGCTGGCCGATCTTGTTCTGATATGTTGACAGCTGACAAGGTGCGCATGATCCAGATCCTCTCAGGTGCTGTGAAGTACCTGAAACAGGTCGGGTGTTATTGAAGGTCCTCTCAGGTGCTGTGAAGTACCTGAAACAGGTCGGGTGTTATTGAAGGTGCTCTCAGGTGCTGTGAAGTACCTGAAACAGGTCGGGTGTTATTGAAGGTGCTCTCAGGTGCTGTGAAGTACCTGAAACAGGTCGGGTGTTATTGAAGGTCCTCTCAGGTGCTGTGAAGTACCTGAAACAGGTCGGGTGTTATTGAAGGTCCTCTCAGGTGCTGTGAAGTACCTGAAACAGGTCGGGTGTTATTGAAGGTCCTCTCAGGTGCTGTGAAGTACCTGAAACAGGTCGGATGTTATTGAAGGTCCTCTCAGGTGCTGTGAAGTACCTGAAACAGGTCGGGTGTTATTGAAGGTCCTCTCAGGTGCTGTGAAGTACCTGAAACAGGTCGGGTGTTATTGAAGGTCCTCTCAGGTGCTGTGAAGTACCTGAAACAGGTCAGGTGTTATTGAAGGTCCTCTCAGGTGCTGTGAAGTACCTGAAACAGGTCAGGTGTTATTGAAGGTCCTCTCAGGTGCTGTGAAGTACCTGAAACAGGTCGGGTGTTATTGAAGATCCTCTCAGGTGCTGTGAAGTACCTGAAACAGGTCGGGTGTTATTGAAGGTCCTCTCAGGTGCTGTGAAGTACCTGAAACAGGTCGGATGTTATTGAAGGTCCTCTCAGGTGCTGTGAAGTACCTGAAACAGGTCGGGTGTTATTGAAGGGCTCTCAGGTGCTGTGAAGTACCTGAAACAGGTCGGGTGTTATTGAAGGTCCTCTCAGGTGCTGTGAAGTACCTGAAACAGGTCGGGTGTTATTGGAGGTCCTCTCAGGTGCTGTGAAGTACCTGAAACAGGTCGGGTGTTATTGAAGGTGCTCTCAGGTGCTGTGAAGTACCTGAAACAGGTCGGGTGTTATTGAAGGTGCTCTCAGGTGCTGTGAAGTACCTGAAACAGGTCGGGTGTTATTGAAGGTGCTCTCAGGTGCTGTGAAGTACCTGAAACAGGTCGGGTGTTATTGAAGGTCCTCTCAGGTGCTGTGAAGTACCTGTAACAGGTTGGGTGTTATTGAAGGTCCTCTCAGGTGCTGTGAAGTACCTGAAACAGGTCGGGTGTTATTGAAGGTCCTCTCAGGTACTGTGAAGTACCTGAAACAGGTCGGGTGTTATTGAAGGTCCTCTCAGGTGCTGTGAAGTACCTGTAACAGGTCGGGTGTTATTGAAGGTCCTCTCAGGTGCTGTGAAGTACCTGAAACAGGTCGGGTGTTATTGAAGGTCCTCTCAGGTGCTGTGAAGTACCTGAAACAGGTCGGGTGTTATTGAAGGTCCTCTCAGGTGCTGTGAAGTACCTGAAACAGGTCGGGTGTTATTGAAGGTCCTCTCAGGTGCTGTGAAGTACCTGTAACAGGTCGGGTGTTATTGAAGGTCCTCTCAGGTGCTGTGAAGTACCTGAAACAGGTCGGGTGTTATTGAAGGTCCTCTCAGGTGCTGTGAAGTACCTGAAACAGGTCAGGTGTTATTGAAGGTCCTCTCAGGTGCTGTGAAGTACCTGAAACAGGTCAGGTGTTATTGAAGGTGCTCTCAGGTGCTGTGAAGTACCTGAAACAGGTCGGGTGTTATTGAAGGTCCTCTCAGGTGCTGTGAAGTACCTGTAACAGGTTAGGTGTTATTGAAGGTGCTCTCAGGTGCTGTGAAGTACCTGAAACAGGTCGGGTGTTATTGAAGGTCCTCTCAGGTACTGTGAAGTACCTGAAACAGGTCGGGTGTTATTGAAGGTCCTCTCAGGTGCTGTGAAGTACCTGTAACAGGTTGGGTGTTATTGAAGGTCCTCTCAGGTGCTGTGAAGTACCTGAAACAGGTCGGGTGTTATTGAAGGTCCTCTCAGGTGCTGTGAAGTACCTGTAACAGGTTGGGTGTTATTGAAGGTCCTCTCAGGTGCTGTGAAGTACCTGAAACAGGTCAGGTGTTATTGAAGGTCCTCTCAGGTGCTGGATTACACTTAGGAGTCCTACTCTTACCTTGAGGGCAGGGTTTACACTGGACGTCTCCCTCAGTATCTTGATAAGATCCCGGATCACAAAGCAGACATTTCTCTGAGTCTGCCTCGACACTATAACTCCCGTGTGAACATGTACTACACGTTCCGTCCGCGTTCTGAGAACAAGACGAATTTTAGTCCAGGAACAAAAATATTTCAACTGAGTTTCTGTGACGGAACTTTCCAAGCCTCGCTGAAAATCAACCACGTACAGATCCTTATCCTACCCATAGCAACCACGTATAGATCCTTATCCTACCCATAGCAACCACGTACAGATCCTTATCCTACCCATAGCAACCACGTACAGATCCTTATCCTACCCATAGCAACCACGTCCAGATCCTTATCCTACTCATAGCAACTACGTACAGATCCTTATCCTACCCATAGCAACCACGTACAGATCCTTATCCTACCCATAGCATCCACGTACAGATCCTTATCCTACCCATAGCAACCACGTACAGATCCTTATCCTACCCATAGCAACCACGTACAGATCCTTATCCTACCCATAGCAACCACGTACAGATCCTTATCCTACCCATAGCAACCACGTACAGACCCTTATCCTACCCATTGCCAAGAAAGCCTTAATATTAATATGTTGCCGATGAAATCTAAAATCAGAGGAGGAGAAATCTATAGTTATCATCATATCACGGAACATGTCCGAACCAGGTACTAGGATATGAGCTTCCTTTACTTGTAGATGCAGGTCCGCGGCGAGGAATTTGTAAAATGCATGGCGGCCTTCATGATCTTAAAGAACAGCAATTCAGTGCTGATTGTGACTCCCGTGAGATCGTGGGATAAGGATGTCTGTAAATACTTAAATACAATCAATAGGCAGAATTTTAAGACACTGAGAGAGAGAGAGAGAGAGAGAGAGAGGAGAGAGAGAGAGAGAGAGAGAGAGAGAGAGAGAGAGAGAGAGAGAGAGAGAGAGAGAGAGAGAGAGAGAGAGAGAGAGAGAGAGAGAGAGAGAGAGAGAGAGAGAGAGAGAGAGAGAGAGAGAGAGAGAGAGAGAGAGAGAGAGAGAGAGAGAGAGAGAAGAGGAGAGAGAGAGAGAGAGAAGAGAGAGAGAGAGAGAGAAAGAGAGAGAGAGAGAGAGAGAGAGAGAGAGAGAGAGAGAGAGAGAGAGAGAGAGAGAGAGAGAGAGAGAGAGAGAGAGAGAGAGAGAGAGAGAGAGAGAGAGAGAGAGAGAGAGAGAGATCAGTATAATTTACTTGGCCCAGTAGTGCATCGCGCTACAAATCATTTACCTTCTTTTGTCCTGGCGTACAAGAATTCCGAACACAAACATCATCCACCAGTTTCATGTGTCCCGGACACTCACACTTGTGGGTCTCCGTCACTTTCCCAGCACATTCCAAACATTCTATCATGTTGTCACGTGGTGTGTACGTTCCTTCTTTGCATACTTCGCACGTGGTTTCACTGACGCGCTGAGTCCCGGCAACGCACGTGCAGTGGGTAGCAGTCAATGCTCCGTAAATACATTGCTCACATTCAACTGTGCCTGTATAGAGTATGATGATGAAATGATGAAATGATTGCTGGCGTTCTAAGAACTGCGTTAATAATAGGGTATGATCTGAAGTGAAATTTTAGAAGGACATAAGACGAAACAGAGCAAAAAAGAGGGAGAACAAACCACAGTTCGAAACCAAATTCATCACCATCAAACGTTTATTGAACTCCAAAGAAAGGTAAAAATTGTTATTTGAAGCACAAACCTGTATTAGGACTGACAGAGTTGTCGGGACAGTTTCTACACACAGTAGTTTCGCCCGGAGAGAATGTTCCAGCTTCACACGGGGTACACGTCTTAGCCCCAGTCGCTTTATCTGTTATCGAACCTGAGTATCATGTTATTGCCATGTTAATAATCAAGATCAACCCTTTAACTAACACCTAGTAACACCCTGGAAACACCTTAGTAACATCTTAGTAAACCTAGAAACACCTTAGTAACACCTTCAAATAACAAGTAGTTTTACCAGCAGGACACCTTATTAACAACTTATTAACACCTAGTAACACCTTAATAACACCCTAGTAACACCTTAGTAACACCTAGTCCCCTGTCGATGGAGCTGTCTGACGGTTGAATAACAAAAAGTTTTACCAGCAGGACACGTGACACCCTAGTAACACCCAAGTAACACCTTAGTAACACCCTAGAAACACCTTAGTAACACCCAAGTAACACCTTAGTAACACCCTAGAAACACCTTAGTAACACCTTTAAATAACAAGAAGTTTTACCAGCAGGACACGTGACACACTGCTTTGCTCCAGGCTCAGAGGAGTACGATCCCAAAACACACTGGTCACATTCCGTGCTTCTCCCGGTTATATTGGAGCTCGTACCCTTCGAACACTGCTCACAACTGAAATACAGAAGTAGAGTAACACCCTAGTAACACCTAGTAACACCCTTGGAACACTGTTCACAACTGAAATACAGTAGTAGAGTGGGCCCTATAGGTGGGGTGCAATGAAATACAGTAGTAGAGTGGGCCCTATAGTTGGGGTGCAATGAAATACAGTAGTAGAGTGGGACCTATAGGTGGGGTGCAATGAAATACAGTAGTAGAGTGGGCCCTATAGGTGGGGTGCAATGAAATACAGTAGTAGAGTGGGCCCTATAGGTGGGGTGCAATGAAATACAGTAGTAGAGTGGGCCCTATAGGTGGGGTGCAATGAAATACAGTAGTAGAGTGGGCCCTATAGGTGGGGTGCAATGAAATACAGTAGTAGAGTGGGCCCTATAGGTGGGGTGCAATGAAATACAGTAGTAGAGTGGGCCCTATAGGTGGGGTGCAATGAAATACAGTAGTAGAGTGGGCCCTATAGGTGGGGTGCAATGAAATACAGTAGTAGAGTGGGCCCTATAGGTGGGGTGCGATGAAATACAGTAGTAGAGTGGGCCCTATAGGTGGGGTGCAATGAAATACAGTAGTAGAGTGGGCCCTATAGGTGGGGTGCAATGAAATACAGTAGTAGAGTGGACTCTATAGGTGGGGTGCAATGACATACAGTAGTAGAGTGGACTCTATAGGTAGGGTGCAATGAAATACAGTAGTAGAGTGGGCCCTATAGGTGGGGTGCAATTAAATACAGTAGTAGAGTGGGCCCTATAGGTGGGGTGCAATGAAATACAGTAGTAGAGTGGGCTCTATAGGTGGGGTGCAATGAAATACAGTAGTAGAGTGGGCTCTATAGGTGGGGTGCAATGAAATACAGTAGTAGAGTGGGCCCTATAGGTGGGGTGCAATGAAATACAGTAGTAGAGTGGGCCCTATAGGTGGGGTGCAATGAAATACAGTAGTAGAGTGGGCCCTATAGGTGGGGTGCAATGAAATACAGTAGTAGAGTGGACTCTATAGGTGGGGTGCAATGAAATACAGTAGTAGAGTGGGCCCTATAGGTGGGGTGCAATGAAATACAGTAGTAGAGTGGGCCCTATAGGTGGGGTGCAATGAAATACAATAGTAGAGTGGGCCCTATAGGTGGGGTGCAATGAAAGATAAAGATTTTCTAAGTTTAACAAACAAACAAAAAATTCGGGTGTTTTTTGTGTTATTTAAATTGTAACAATATTTATATAAATTTTATAATTTAAACACGAGCTCCAGAAGCTGACAAACCTGGACAAATACGCTAAAATTATTAGACGTAAATTTGACAATTATGAAAGCCCAGTTAATCGTCAGTTTTTAGAGCCTCTGACTTCCTGGAAACCATTACTGTCACCAAGATGTAAATCAGATCGAACGAGAAATTAGATCGAACGGCGTCTCAATTCGATCTGATTTACATCTTGGTGACAGTTACTGTCACAGTTACTGTCACCAAGATGTAAATCAGATCGAATTGAGACGCCGTTCGATCTAATTTCTCGTTCGATCTAATTTCTCGTTCGATCTGATTTACATCTTGGTGACAGTAAAAAGACAGTAATTTAATAACTGTAGACAATTTTCTCTACGTTCTCTAAAAACAGCTTAAAGTTAAATGATAGAGCAACGATAAGTGATATTACACATGATGTTCCAACGTTTCATTTAATATTAGATCACCTGCAAAAGTTTTCCGTGCCCAACATGTTCAGTACAGATCTTAACCACGTGGTCTATTAGCGCACCCGTGCCTCGGCTTATGAGTTGTTTACTCATTAATTATTTTACTACCGGTGTTTTAACTTATATATAAATAAAAGTAAACGTGGGCCAGGTGAGCCGCAGCTTTGAATATTTATCGGTTTACTCAGTACTTAGAGGTCTTAACATACGTTTGTGGTTTGTGATAAAGTAGTCCGAGAAACTGCCCTTATATTGATTCAATCTACGCTGATTCTAAGTTTGAGGATGAATAATACTCTCATTCTGGAAACTCAGTACAGAATTTATGATGGGTTGATAGCGTTCGGACTCTTTGTCTGCTTTGTGATCGGACTACCGGGAAACTGTCTAGCTTTGAAATATTTCGTCCACACAAAGAAACGAAATCTGTCAACTCTTCTTTACATAGTTGCCTGCTCTATCGATATAGGTTCCTCCGTCATCCACCTTCCAGTTGCTTTTAGTTTGCTGAAAAACCGAAATCCTGGATTACTCGACAACAAAATTGTCTGCTCGATTTGGAGTTTTATCCTCTCCTTGCTTCAACAAATGTCCATATTCGTGGTTATGACACTGTCGTTATCGCGAGCGATTGTCATAAAGTACCCTTTCTACAAAGTCAACAAAAGAGCAGTTCTTGTGTCCATTGCTCTCTACCTCATATACCACTGTATTTGGAACACTACACTTCATACCCACATGCACATTGTGGAGGATGTAAGTTGCACCATCCGGCCTAGTGACGTACCCCAAACATCTTCATTGATTAAAACCTTCTATATACTTAACTACACCGCTTGTTTGGGAATTCCTCCAATCATTGTGTTTCTGACGTTTCTTATCTCCATTGTTATGCTCCGGAAAGAATCTGTCGCAAACAATGTGTCCCAAAGGAGAAATAACCATGCTTCCATCACTATTACTTACTTTACAGCCCTCTTCCTCTGCTGCAATTGCTTTACTTTTATCAACTGCTTTCTCCTCACCATGGTGATGTCCAAGATTTACCCGTATTCAATATATGATAACTATTTTATGTACTTCTACAGCTGGCTTCTAAGTGAAATCTTCTGTACGGTCCTAAACGCTTCTCTAAACCCACTGCTCTATGTTTTGAGGATGAGAGAAATGAGGTTGTGGATTGTTGGAATACTCCCAAATAGAGCAAGCAGTCTTTCTGGGGTGATAGCGAATACGAGCAATGAAACTGAGACACAGCTGTGAAGATATTAGCCATGACAACCTAAACTGGATAAAATGAACTTAGGAAACAGCCGAGCTGGTAACTTTTGATGAATTTGAACTGGAAGGATTGTGAACTAAGACTTATTTTTGATGAACCTAACCAAATCAAATTTCTGAGCTTCCATCAAGTTGCATGTCTTTATCTTGTAAACATCTTGCACATTGTGGAGGATGTAAGTTGCACCATCCCTAGTGACGTACCCGAAACATCTTCATTGATTAAAACCTTCTATATACTTAACTACACCGCTTGTTTGGGGATTCCTCCAATCATTGTGTTTCTGACGTTTCTTGTCTCCATTGTTATGCTCCGAAAAGAATCTGCCGCAAACAATGTGTCCCAAAGGAGAAATAACCATGCTTCCATCACCATTACTTACTTTACAGCCCTCTTCCTCTGCTGCAATTGCTTTACTTTTATCAACTGCTTTCTCCTCACCATGGTGATGTCCAAGATTTACCCGTATTCAATATATGATAACTATTTTATGTACTTCTACAGCTGGCTTCTAAGTGAAATCTTCTGTACGGTCCTAAACGCTTCTCTAAACCCACTGCTCTATGTTTTGAGGATGAGAGAAATGAGGTTGTGGATTGTTGGAATACTCCCAAATAGAGCAAGCAGTCTTTCTGGGGTGATAGCGAATACGAGCAATGAAACTGAGACACAGCTGTGAAGATATTAGCCATGACAACCTAAACTGGATAAAATGAACTTAGGAAACAGCCGAGATGGTAACTTTTGATGAATTTGAACTGGAAGGATTGTGAACTAAGACTTATTTTTGATGAACCTAACCAAATCAAATTTCTTAGCTTCCATAAAGTCGCATGTCTTTATCTTGCAAACATAATCACGATTAAATTTAATGACATTATAGACTACAATGCATGGTCCGATTATTGTTCACTTTTTAAAGTTAGCTGTATGTATTTCATGTCTATGTGCATTGCAGCTTCAGGCACTGCTATTGTGCTGTGTTGTGATGTGTTACTAACGTATTATTCAATATATTTAACAGCCCCCCTGAGTTTGAAAGTTGTTAATTGGCGTTTGAGAGAGCGCTGTGCTAAATTTAATCATATTTTGATTGTTTATCTTGCTTGTACGGGACCATATTTTGTAGGTACAACTGTAGCACATCTCTGCGTTTTAGTATCCAATATTATACCTACATGTATTGTATGGTTTCTTCTTTTTTTTAGTTTACAATAAAAGATGTTTTAATTTTGTCTTAGCCTTATATTGAGTTATACTCTTGGTCATTTTTACACATTTGCTCACATCACTCACAGTCAGCCGCTCTGACATGGTTAACCACCTTCCTTGTGTTGTTGGTTAATCATATGAATCATTTCATTTCATATAAATAGCTCGAATATTTACATTCTTTGAGAAGTTTCGACAAACAATCAAAATTTACATTACTGTTTTTATAGATTCTTTCTATTCTGTGATCATGTATGTTCTGTTTAAAATGTTTCCGATTTCTGCGTAATAACCAGGCTGACACACTGAACACCCTAGTAACACCTTAGTATACCCTAGTAACACCTCAGTAACACCCTAGTAACACCCTAGTAACACCCTAGTAACACCCTAGTCACACTAAACCTGGACATGGAGAACATTTCCGCGTAGTAACCAGGCTGACACACTGAACACTGCTCGCCTTAGTAACACCCTAGTAACACCCTAGTAACACCCTAGTCACACTAAACCTGGACATGGAGAACATTTCCGCGAAGTAACCAGGGTGACACACTGAACACTGCTCGCTGTTAACTGAGGCAGAGTGAGTCCCGGGGAAACACTCCGTGCACTTGTGAGTGTTGTTGAAGTGAGTGTTGTTGAAGTTGCTTCCCTCATCTGAATCTACCAAGGGCTGGAGCCTGGTCCCCTGGGGACATGATAGGCACACTCTTTTGCATTCATCTGGGGAATATCGCTTTGTTAAAACCGAATTAACCGGTTAAATTACCTTTTAAATGACTTTAAGCTTTTACGCTATTTACACTACACTTTAAGCTTGTACAATAATCAGAACGAAGACAACTTAAGGGGGGGGGGGGGGGGTCTGCTACACTTTTTTACATTATTTCACACTATTTCACACTATATTACACTATTTTACACTTAACCAAATTATCTTCTAAAAATCTTCTTTTTTCTATTATTTTCCAATTAGTCTTCCCACGGTACATTTCGAAAGGTAAAACATACCTTTGGTGGAAAAAATGTAACTTTTTAGGTTATTTTACGCTACACTTTTTACACCACATTTTAGCCTTTTTTATGTATGGTGTAAAGAAGTGTAGCAGACCCCCCCCCCACTTAAAAGTGTTAAACAGTACCATCAGGATAGCAAATCCTAGCGACGAGATTTGGCAGAGGCTTAAGGTATATAATACTAGTGGTCTGATAAGGAATGTAGTTATATTCGTGAACTCTGAAATGCTTCACAGGGTCGTAATATTCATCACCGTCTTTTTGGGCCTCTATCGTGAAGTAGAATCTGAAGTAAAATTTGTATAAGGTTAGGCACAGTTAACAGTAGCAATATAGGTAATCTGTCGGTGGACACTGAAGACAAACTGAAGACATACATATTACATAGTGGACACATTTTCACTCTCGAGGATTATTGGATTCATAAACAAAATGAAAAACTTCACCAGAAAAAGTACATTTTTCATTCCATGAATTTCTACCTTTATCTTTTAGTGAGCACTTTGACCACCACACCACACCACACCACACCACACCACACCACACCACACCACACCACACCACACCACACCACACCACACCACACCACACCACACCACACCACACCACACCACACCACACCACACCACACCACACCACACCACACCACACCACACCACACCACACCACACCACACCATACCACACCACATCGTGAGAGAGCTGGGACCTCGGACCTTGTTCGTGAGAGACCTGGGACATGGGTCTTTGGTTTTATTTATAAATAAACAAGTTGAAGCAAGGCACAGTGATTTCGTGGCATGTTTTTTTGTTGATATAACTCCAACTTGTTTCTGTCTCCACGGCCTTAAAGTGTCCGTACGTTAATTAACCCTTGTGTGTGCCAACCGTGCCTTAGGTGTCCCTCAAGTGTCCATCGACAGATTACCGAATTGCCTATTAAAATGGCAAATATCAATCACCGGAATATAACAATCGATAAAATAATCCCCGAAATACTGACCCCTTGTCGGTAACAGTTGTGTTAAGGATGACACTACACTACACTACACTACACTACACTACACTACACTACACTACACTACACTACACTACACTACACTACACTACACTACACTACACTACACTACACTACACTACACTACACTACACTACACTACACCACACCACACCACACCACACCACACCACACCACACCACACTACACTACACTACACTACACTACACTACACTACACTACACTACACTACACTACACTACACTACACTACACTACACTACACTACACTACACTACACTACACTACACTACACTACACTACACTACACTACACTACACCACACCACACCACACCACACCACACCACACCACACCACACCACACCACACCACACCACACTACACTACACTACACTACACTACACTACACTACACTACACTACACCACACCACACCACACCACACCACACCACACCACACCACACCACACCACACCACACCACACCACACCACACCACACCACACTACACTACACTACACTACACTACACTACACCACACCACACCACACCACACCACACCACACCACACCACACCACACTACACTACACTACACTACACTACACTACACTACACTACACTACACTACACCACACCACACCACACCACACTACACTACACTACACTACACTACACTACACTACACTACACTACACTACACTACACTATGTACTACACTACACTACACTACACTACACTACACTACACTACACTACACTACACTACACTACACTACACTACACTACACTACACTACACTACACTACACTACACTACACTACACTACACTACACTACACTACACTACACTACACTACACTACACTACACTATGTACTACACTACACTACACTACACTACACTACACTACACTACACTACACTACACTACACTACACTACACTACACTACACTACACTACACTACACTACACTACACACTACACACTACACACTACACTACACTACACTACACTACACTACAGAACACTACACTACACTACACTACATTACACTACACTACACTACACTACACTACACTACACTACACTACACTACACTACACTACACCACACTACACTACACTACACTACACTACACTACACTACACTACACTACACTACACTACACTACACTACACTACACTACACTACACTAGACTACACTACACTACACTACACTACACTACACCACACCACACTACACTACACTACACTAAACTACACTACACTACACTACACTACACTACACTACACTACACTACACTACGCTACGCTACGCTACGCTACACTACACTACACTACACTACACTACACTACACTACACTACACTACACTACACTACACCACACCACACCACACTACACTACACTACACTAAACTACACTACACTACACTACACTACACTACACTACACTACACTACGCTACGCTACGCTACGCTACACTACACCACACTACACTACACTACACTACACTACACTACACTACACTACACTACACTACACTACACTACACTACACTACACTACACTACACTACACTACACTACACTACACTACACTACACTACACTACACTACACTACACTACACTACACTACACTACACTACATACTGAAATACTGACCCCTTGTCGGTAACAGTTGTGTTAAGGATGACACTACACTACACTACACTACACTACACTACACTACACTACACTACACTACACTACACTACACTACACTACACTACACCACACTACACTACACTACACTACACTACACTACACCACACTACACTACACTACACTACATACTGAAATACTGACCCCTTGTCGGTAACAGTTGTGTTAAGGATGATTTGAACCGGAATTGTACCGTGAGAGAACTCCTTCACCTCTGTCTTGCCAACTGTTTCAGGGGTGTCATAACCTTCACCCCCTGTGTTCTTCCGTCTTATCGACGATAATGTCAACTGTAGTGTATTTTATTATGGGCAGGGTTTGGGAGAGATCGCATTTGAAATTCTGTAATGAAAAAAAGATATGCTTAATGGATACCTGAAAGTTAATGTAATAGGTAACTAATAACTATTAGCATCCCATTGATTTATAATAAATACCCTCATCAGACTGAGTGTTAATTGTGTTAATCAACATTTCTACTTTCAGACTGAGTTTAACTGGTGACTTATGTCCTATTTGATAAATACAACGATATTCGTGTACCAATGGGAGTATCAAACTCGCTTACGGGTTCAATACCCGTTACCATAACTAGCAGGAACCCGTCTAACCCTAAAGTGGTGTCAAGACTCGAGAGACTTAAATAATTATTACCTATTTAATTAAAATTCTTATTCCTTGGCCAATTTTTTATTTTTTTCATGCTGATTTTTAAAGCATTAAAGCATTTGACCCAGTCAAAAAAGTTTCAGTTGTAATTGTATATTTTTTACGGTTTTGCGGAAAGTCACGTTAAAGTTGATGCCGTGGTGTCAGTGACTTTAAAATGGCAAGGATCCATATTGATATAGGTTTACAAGGTTTACAAGGTTTACAAGGTTTACAAGGTTTACAAGGTTTACAAGGTTTACAAGGTTTACAAGGTTAACAAAGATAGATCTATATATTACAGTATAATAACGTTAGATTGGCGTTGCTACATAATAAATCCAAAGTCCGAAATCAAAATAGGAAAAAAACCATTACCAAAATGTCGTGGTGTCACTCTAAAGCCAGAGGCGAGTGCAAATCGATCATGATAGAAGCTACCAAAAAGAGCGAGAAAAGCACGCAAACCCTATCAGGAAAACAACAACAAAGTGAAATGTGAAAAATAAAGATGCTTGATGTGTGATTGTGTAGTCGACGACGTGATTGTGTTGGAGTGGAGTGCAAATGTAAAATGCAGATGAAGGGGGTGTGGCGGAAAGGTGAAGTCCCGAACTGTGGCACTAGTGTTTGTGTTTCTTCTTCACAGGAAATCGTGTTCTGCATAGCTGAGCGTCGAATTTGGTAAATTCCACTATGTGTTCCGGAAGAAAGAGGCTCTTTATGTCATGAAATAGCAAAGACTTTGTGGGCTACTTCATGTTAGTCCTACTGGAATGGTACCTGGGACATGTTCTAAGGAAGTGTTCTTCATCTTTTATGATCGGGTCGACACCTGGAAGGTTAAGGAGGAGCTCCATCACGGAATTCTCGCTGCAGAATTCACAGATTCTATAATTTCGACTACCAGTTCGTCTCCCACATCTTCCAGTTTCTACGTTAAGCTTATGTCCACTCATTCGGATCCTAGCCACGAAGTTGCTTCCAGTTCTCGACGGTAGAGTGAGGTACGGCTCCGCTTTAAGTTTGAAAGCCTCTTTAACTTTATTGTAGAAAGTAAGCTTCTTATTGCTTTGTCTTTCTGTTTCCCAAGCTTAATAAATCGATGGTGTGCCCTTTCTTGACACAGCAATGGGTTGTAAAGTTGATCTTCTAGTTTGTTCTCGTCGAGTATCAATAGCATCGATTCTAGTGCTCTGATATATATATAGAGAATTAACCGTCTTTACTTCGCAAAAACCATATTCTGTGAATCTGTGTAAAACATCTCAGTTCACTATTTCCTAACATCACTTTACCTGGGGACCCCAGGCTATTATGTTAGAATAGAGATTCTGAGCGCCGCCCAGGAAAACAGCACTGTGTGTCCCTTTGTTCAGGCGGGCCTAATCGGTCTTCATTACTGCACTCGGCAAATTTCAGCCTCTTCCACGAGAAATCGTAATAGCTCGCGGGTATAGGAGGGACGCTTACTGGAGGATCTCTGGAAGAGGCGATCAAGATTCTCGACAGCTCAGTCCTGATCACATAATGGCCCGAATGTAGTGAATAGAATGACGCGGTTATATAGGAAACGATTAAAACTCACATAGAATCTCTTGTGCGCTCCTTTACTTGCGCTATTTCCTAACAGTGCACTGACTATTTGTCAGACTCCTCATCTTTTCGTAGACGAAACAGTGAGGGTGCAGCTAACTCAACAACTGTTCCTTTGTCCAGTTAACTAGTTAACGTTAAACAGATTCAAAGAATATGGTTTTTGCGAAGATGATAAACTATCGGTTATCGGTATATATAGTAATAAAATTCGGTCCAGTTAGAATTTCAAAATTTATCAGTGGGATCATTATTTTAGGTGTTGCCTGTTGGGCTGAAAGTAGTTTTTGAGCATGATATTATTAAATCTTTAAATGATCTTTATATGCACCATTCACGATCCCTCACTTTTATTTTTTAATTGCATGGCGTACGCCATGTACTGCAAAGCTCTACGGCCTGGTTTTCTGGAAACAGTTAATATTCATATATTCAAATCTGCTGTACTATAAGGAGATGAGACCTGATTAACGTAAACGTAAAGGGTTAACGCTATCCTGGCCTAGTGTATGATCGCGTCGGGGAGCTTATGAAACTCTTATTCTCTATCATTAGTTCTTACCATTAGTTTTTATTAATCATGTTTAATACAAGGGTCCTCGATCTCCCACAAGCCATTCAACAATGAGCTTTCTTGTGTTAATCGTCGATTACCCATCGGGAAACAATGCTTGTCCAAAATATCACCTTCAAGCTTTGACATCTTTTATTACACCATTCTTAAACCTATACCAAAGGTCCCCTCCCAGTTTCGATAGGCTATTTTGAGTTAATCGTCGATTACCCATCGGAAAACAATGCTTGCAATTTTTAATCTTTAATCCTTTTCGTAGTAGGTCTCTTGCATAATAATGTGATTGTTTAGTTAACTGTGCGAATCAGTTAAAAAAAATACAAAATAATACATGAATCTGTTATTCAGAAAGGAGTTTCAGAAGTAATGTCTCTCTTGAATGGGATTCTAACAGTTTTATTGACAACTATGGCAACTCGGGCGAATAAAGGTGAGTTGTACAAAAATTAAACTTATGATAAATGAATAAAAATAAACTAACCGTAGCTTCCAATATTTAAGATTCCAAAGTTTAGAAAATATAATTCGCTTAAAAAGGTAACACTAACATTTATCAATGTTTCGATATCAGGAACATGGACGTTTGTGACTAGAGGAAACGTTCACCCAGTGAACATCAACATGCCGGGTGAATCCCTCTACATCAGGACCGACTCGAAAGAAAGCAGCCAGCAAATGATCTATATAGACTTCGGAGGACACAGTTATGCGCGTTTTTTCCGGATAGAGTTCGGGAGTGTCACGAGCTACTTCGTAACTAACTGTGACACGGAGGAGACTGCGCCTACAAGTCTCCAACTCACTAACCTACCTTCCGATGACAACAAAGATTGGACGATCACCAAAGAGCAGGACAGACTGATTGTCCACTGCAATGAGGTCCTAGTCCTGGAATACTTCTTCTGGAAAGCAAAGCATTATGTTTGCAAGGAGATATATGAAGGCCCAGTCACAAAGATCGTCTTCAGAACCACCGATACAGCTTCAGACATGTATTCTGTCGGGAGACCTTTAACAGCAGGTACCATTTAACATGAACTGAACCGTTTAAAAATGTTAATAATACTTAGTCAATCAACAATCAAAGTCATGGCTCATCATAGTCATACACATAAACAGTGGCGTAACGAAGGGCCAAGCCGACCCCGCTGTGCGGGGGAGCAATCTTACTCTTAGGGGGGCGCCAAATCGTCGCGTTTTAATGTGGGACAATTTCGAAAAACTTAATTACGGTACTAACTAGCAGCAAAACTGCGCGTTTTGCTCTAGAAAGACACTTTTTAAAAGATTTTGCCGGCGTATCCTCTAGAAGCATCTAATTTGCTCAATTTTAGCGAGGGTCGCCAAAAGGGGAAGGGGCGCCAACACTCAACAGGGGGGTACTTTATGATTATCAGCGACCCCGCTGTGACTATCCCTTGTATTTACAATTTAATACAACTCTGCCCGCGCACGTTCCGCACTTTAAGTACCTTATCATGAAGAAAACATGCGCCTATTGGAAATGGCACCAACGACGAAGTAACCAAGCTAAAGCCTAGCGATACTCATGTTCAAACGACTTAACGACAGCGAGAACGTTGAACGACGCGAAAATATTGGACAGTTTAAAATTCCAAGCCAGCTTTCCTTATACAAAGATATCACAGATTATTTATTCCAATGGACAGGATACCACACGGACAGTGTACAGTGTACAGTGTACAGGATACCACACGCAAAATGCGGAAATGTTTTTTTAAATTTCTCAGTAAAAATCCTAATTAAAATTTTAAAAGAGAGCTGATGCCGAGGGAATGCGATTCTTCACCTAGGCCAGGGCAAAACGAGTAATGGCTCTTCTAACTGAGGTCTTGGTCGACACTGGTTTATGGGCACATTTCTTAACCTTTAACTTCGTTACGTGGTTTCCAGTCTGGAAAATCTGGGAATTCCACATTTAGCGATCCTCAACTGCCCCAGAGACCCAAAATTCATCCAGGTCTGCAGTCATATTCTAAAGTATGATAAGCTCAAGCTTAGAATCTGTCGCCATGACTCAAGTGAATGACCAACTTATTTGAATGTGATTTTAAAAACTATTTATAGCTTTGGGTGCAATCCTTTTTAGAGATTTTATTTTCTATTTTCAGATCTATCATGCAAAAATGTAGCCTATGATAATTAGGTTTTCATCATCATCGTTTCGTGAAATGAAAACTCGGGGTGCTATAAATACTAAACCCCTAAAATGTTTGGCTACACAATATGGGCACCATGTGTTCAGTGTTGACACAAGTTCAGAAAGTTATCCAACTTATTCAATCTAGTACCTGACTAGAATATCTATATATCTATAATAATATCTGACCTGAGATTTATTACAGTTGTCACACAGGACAAGCGAGTACCTGACTAGAATATCTGACCTGAGATTTATTACAGTTGTCACACAGGACAAGCGAGTACCTGACTAGAATATCTGACCTGAGATTTATTACAGTTGTCACACAGGACAAGCGAGTACCTGACTAGAATATCTGACCTGAGATTTATTACAGTTGTCACACAGGACAAGGGAGTACCTGACTAGAATATCTGACCTGAGATTTATTACAGTTGTCACACAGGACAAGCGAGTACCTGACTAGAATATCTGACCTGAGATTTATTACAGTTGTCACACAGGACAAGGGAGTACCTGACTAGAATATCTGACCTGAGATTTATTACAGTTGTCACACAGGACAAGCGAGTACCTGACTAGAATATCTGACCTGAGATTTATTACAGTTGTCACACAGGACAAGGGAGTACCTGACTAGAATATCTGACCTGAGATTTATTACAGTTGTCACACAGGACAAGCGAGTACCTGACTAGAATATCTGACCTGAGATTTATTACAGTTGTCACACAGGACAAGCGAGTACCTGACTATAATATCTGACCTGAGATTTATTACAGTTGTCACACAGGACAAGCGAGTACCTGACTAGAATATCTGACCTGAGATTTATTACAGTTGTCACACAGGACAAGCGAGTACCTGACTAGAATATCTGACCTGAGATTTATTACAGTTGTCACACAGGACAAGCGAGTACCTGACTAGAATATCTGACCTGAGATTGGGGAGATTTATTACAGTTGTCACACAGGACAAGCGAGTACCTGACTAGAATATCTGACCTGAGATTTATTACAGTTGTCACACAGGACAAGCGAGTACCTGACTAGAATATCTGACCTGAGATTTATTACAGTTGTCACACAGGACAAGGGAGTACCTGACTAGAATATCTGACCTGAGATTTATTACAGTTGTCACACAGGACAAGCGAGTACCTGACTAGAATATCTGACCTGAGATTTATTACAGTTGTCACACAGGACAAGGGAGTACCTGACTAGAATATCTGACCTGAGATTTATTACAGTTGTCACACAGGACAAGCGAGTACCTGACTAGAATATCTGACCTGAGATTTATTACAGTTGTCACACAGGACAAGCGAGTACCTGACTAGAATATCTGACCTGAGATTTATTACAGTTGTCACACAGGACAAGCGAGTACCTGACTAGAATATCTGACCTGAGATTTATTACAGTTGTCACACAGGACAAGGGAGTACCTGACTAGAATATCTGACCTGAGATTTATTACAGTTGTCACACAGGACAAGGGAGTACCTGACTAGAATATCTGACCTGAGATTTATTACAGTTGTCACACAGGACAAGCGAGTACCTGACTAGAATATCTGACCTGAGATTTATTACAGTTGTCACACAGGACAAGCGAGTACCTGACTAGAATATCTGACCTGAGATTTATTACAGTTGTCACACAGGACAAGGGAGTACCTGACTAGAATATCTGACCTGAGATTTATTACAGTTGTCACACAGGACAAGCGAGTACCTGACTAGAATATCTGACCTGAGATTTATTACAGTTGTCACACTTGTGGTTAAACTGTAATCTCAGGACCACTTGACGGGTGTAGCTCTCAAAGTCAACATAATGACCACTGTTGTTGTTGTCCGTCTTTAGTGAGAAACTGAACGATAGTCGTGTCCCTGAGACGATGTGAGTGTGAGATCGACGTGTTAACCTGGTAACCTGGTAACCAGGTAACCTGGTAACCTGGTAACCTGGTAACCTGGTAACCACTGAGACGATGAGAGTGTGAGATCGTTATATTCTAATCCTCATGAACGTGTTAACCTGGTAACCTGGTAACCTGGTAACCTGGTAACCTGGTAACCTGGTAACCACTGAGATGATGAGAGTGTGAGATCGTTATATTCTAATCCTCATCTATAACGGTAGCTCATTGGGGGACCATTTTTGGTATTATTTTGGTTCAAATCAACGATAATCCACAAAACGAGATTAAAAAATCAAAATAATATCAGAATTTACCGTTTTTTAAGGAGGGTCGGAGTACTTTTTCATCAGGGTTAGATTCGTTGATGAAGGACTTGGGCATACAAATCAGTTGCTCAGTTTGAGTTAAACCTGGAAAATATATTCTCAAAAGGGTGGGTTATACTGTTACCAGTATACCACTGTTACCAGACAAAATTGTAGTCTAACAAATATACACTGTACGTCGTTCATACAGCTAAAACCGAGTTAGTTATCAATACGATACAGTTAACTCGGTACTTACCGCATAAAGCAGCCAGCGATATTAAGAACAACATCTTAACCCATTTCACATAACATGATAGTCATTTGGAACCACCTCTGAGGAGATGAAACTAATATTACTGAGGAGATGAAACTAATATAAATGTTAGAGTACCATTATAAATATTTCGATTAACCAACTTTTATTAATTCTAGCTAAAGATGCGATCAAAATGACGAACTGAACAATATTTGTGTTTTCTCTGTCTGGCCGCAGTGACTGTGTGGCTTGGTATGCGTTAGGCCGCTACACCAACTAATTATTACTAATTATTACTAATTATTACAGTCTATCTCAGAGCTGTCAGCAAGGACTGGAGATGACTGGAAACGCGTTTATATCTGTGAAACACCTTTATGAAGCTCAAAGCTCCTAATTCGGTTTAACTTTGACAAGGTTTCACTTGCAAGTTAAACCACATTATGTGTAACATGGAATATATTGCACAGTTGCACAGTTGCACAGTTGCACAGGGAGTTTTGTAGTTTCAATTTTCAGGCCCATAACTTAGATTTTATGAAGTCTTATCACCGAAATCTTCAAACAGTCACGGTAGAGTCCTAATCAGTAGCTGGATCAGTATATAATAAGTACAAATCCTGATTCCTGAAGCATATCCAAAACGTGTGGTTGTTAAAACTATTCTGAGTTAAAGTTGGTATTTTTTAAGGCAAAAAGCTGAATGTTTGTTCAATATGCCAGCTGAAAATAGTATGCGAAAATCACCATCCGAATTTCCTGGTAACCGTAAACTAATGTTAAGAAGTCATTTATGATTTTTTAGTTTCGACTAAAAGTTTTGCACCAAATTATCAACTAGGGCCTAAACTAAAAGCAAAGTGTGGGTATGGTTCGTTTACAAACTTCTTTCTGAAACGCAACACAAGACAAAATAAAAGACGTCTCCCAAAAAGGACTGTTCCCGGATATGACGAAGGAAGGGTAGTTTGAGTTACTGAGTTACCGAGTTACTGAGTTACTAAGGAAAGTGATGTTGCAGAATTACAACGTAAGCTGGAGGCTCGCACAGCAGTGAACTAGCGGAGAGACGTAACGTCTTCTAGGTGGTAGACAAACATTCTACCCGCTGTAAATATGCATATTGAGATGTTAATATGCATATTGAGATGTGAGTATGCATATTGAATATTGACACAGGATTGCTAAGTAAAGAGTCAGATAGTTTGTACAGAGTGCATGTATTACAATAACAAGGTGAAAAGGAGTTTCACTGTTGCAGAGATGTACAAAACAAAGCAGTGCCAGCAACTGCTGCTCACACCTGTCACTATAAATAGTTCACTCTGTTGTTGTGTTGCATGATCACAAATACCTAAAGCTAGATCATCAAGAATGATTTCAGTGTTATTCATTTTCGCGGTGATGTTTTGATAATGATATACTTGAAGACAACATAACAAACACAACCAAAACATTTTGCAAGTTAACTGAAGATTCACTAAAATTAATACCATTTAATAATCTTCATAAACGACAAATTAAATACAAACTGTCAGAATCACATTAAATAGTGCATATTTTAAAAGTATATAAAAATAGTTTAACTCTTCGAATCCTGATGAATACCATCTCGAATATACCAACAAACCCAATACATCTTGGTCTACGTCAAAAACCCAACAAGTACACGAAAGACAATTAATCCAGATGGTGCCACCACAACCAGAAAACAATTCAGCAACCTCCCCGAATTACAGAGCATTATAACAATCGCTGAAGAGCTGGAATTTAAATCCAATCCCGCAGTTAGGATACGGAGCCCATATTTACAGGGCTGTAGATACTGGGCTGTGGTGGTTATTAACCACCCACCACCTGACTACCCTCTCTCATGGTTCCAGCTCCACATGATTACGGGAGATAAGTTAGGAGATTAGTTAGTTAGAGATATCAGATTGTTCTTGACAGCACCATTCACCAGTACAGTAATCGTAGCTATTAGGGAGAGAATTACTGGTGGTCCCCCTCTATTTTTATATACTTTTTGTGGACGCAGTAAAGAGCTCGCGGTAAAGAGCTCGCAGTAAAGAGCTCGCAGTAAAGAGCTCGCAGTAAAGAGCTCGCAGTAAATAGCTCGCAGTAAAAAGCTCGCAGTAAAGAGCTCGCAGTAAAAAGCTGGCAGTAAAGAGCTCGCTGTAAAGAGCTGGCAGTAAAGAGCTGGCAGTAAAGAGCTGGCAGTAAAGAGCTGGCAGTAAAGAGCTCGCGGTAAAGAGCTCGCAGTAAAGAGCTCACAGTAAAGAGCTCGCAGTAAAGAGCTCGCAGTAAAGAGCTCGCAGTAAAGAGCTGGCAGTAAAGAGCTCGCAGTAAAGAGCTCGCAGTAAAGAGCTGGCAGTAAAGAGCTGGCAGCAAAGAGCTGGCAGCAAAGAGCTGGCAGCAAAGAGCTCGCAGTAAAGAGCTCGCAGTAAAGAGCTCGCAGTAAAGAGCTCGCAGTAAAGAGCTTGCAAAAAAGAGCTCGCAGTAAAGAGCTCGCAGCAAAGAGCTCGCAGGAAAGAGCTCGCAGTAAGGAGCTCGCAGTAAAGAGCTCGCAGTAAAGAGCTCGCAGTAAAGAGCTCGCGGTAAAGAGCTCGCGGTAAAGAGCTCGCGGTAAAGAGCTCGCAGTAAAGAGCTCGCAGAAAAGAGCTGGCAGTAAAGAGCTGGCAGTAAAGAGCTCGCAGTAAAGAGCTCGCAGTAAAGAGCTCGCAGTAAAAAGCTCGCAGTAAAGAGCTGGCAGTAAAGAGCTGGCAGTAAAGAGCTGGCAGTAAAGAGCTCGCAGTAAAGAGCTGGCAGTAAAGAGCTGGCAGCAAAGAGCTCGCAGCAAAGAGCTCGCAGTAAAGAGCTCGCAGCAAAGAGCTCGCAGTAAAGAGCTCGCAGTAAAGAGCTCGCAGTAAAGAGCTCGCAGTAAAGAGCTCGCAGTAAAGAGCTCGCAGTAAAAAGCTCGCAGTAAAGAGCTGGCAGTAAAGAGCTGGCAGTAAAGAGCTGGCAGTAAAGAGCTGGCAGTAAAGAGCTCGCAGTAAAGAGCTGGCAGCAAAGAGCTCGCAGCAAAGAGCTCGCAGCAAAGAGCTCGCAGAAAAGAGCTCGCAGTAAAGAGCTCGCAGTAAAGAGCTCGCAGTAAAGAGCTCGCAGTAAAGAGCTCGCGGTAAAGAGCTCGCAGTAAAGAGCTCGCAGTAAAGAGCTCGCGGTAAAGAGCTCGCGGTAAAGAGCTCGCAGTAAAGAGCTCGCAGTAAAGAGCTGGCAGTAACGAGCTCGCAGCAAAGAGCTCGCAGCAAAGAGCTCGCAGCAAAGAGCTCGCAGAAAAGAGCTCGCAGTAAAGAGCTCGCAGTAAAGAGCTCGCAGTAAAGAGCTCGCAGTAAAGAGCTCGCAGTAAAGAGCTCGCAGTAAAAAGCTCGCAGTAAAGAGCTCGCAGTAAAGAGCTCGCAGTAAAGAGCTCGCAGTAAAGAGCTCGCAGTAAAGAGCTCGCAGCAAAGAGCTGGCAGTAAAGAGCTGGCAGTAAAGAGCTGGCAGTAAAGAGCTCGCAGTAAAGAGCTCGCAGTAAAGAGCTGGCAGTAAAGAGCTCGCAGCAAAGAGCTCGCAGCAAAGAGCTCGCAGAAAAGAGCTCGCAGTAAAGAGCTCGCAGTAAAGAGCTCGCAGTAAAGAGCTCGCAGTAAAGAGCTCGCAGTAAAGAGCTCGCAGTAAAGAGCTCGCAGTAAAGAGCTCGCAGCAAAGAGCTCGCAGCAAAGAGCTCGCAGAAAAGAGCTCGCAGCAAAGAGCTCGCAGTAAAGAGCTCGCAGTAAAGAGCTCGCAGTAAAGAGCTCGCAGTAAAGAGCTCGCAGTAAAGAGCTCGCAGTAAAGAGCTCGCAGTAAAGAGCTCGCAGTAAAGAGCTCGCAGTAAAGAGCTCGCGGTAAAGAGCTCGCGGTAAAGAGCTCGCGGTAAAGAGCTCGCAGGTTTGTGGAGTTCTTGGAGTGATAAAATCAGGTCCGATTATTAAACTTGTCAAACGTTGGATCAGCGGAGTTTTTTCACCATTAATTAATTATTGGAGCAGCTCGTGTTGCTATGGTAACTAGTAGTAACCACAGGAGCAGCTGTGATCCACAAATAAGTAAGTTTTATAACTTACAAGTCAGTATAAAGTAAACATTTTATATGTATAACACTTATCAATAGCGCATTGAGACAATTGAACATTTTCTTAACTAAACAAAAACTGTCTTCAAATAGTGATCCCGGCCATTCACAAGAACAGAAATGCGATTAACGGGTGAAACTCGTAAAATATCTGTTCCATATATTGGAACCGTCGACAAGTCCAACTCCGTCGACGAGTCCAACTCGGCGCGCGTCCTGGTAGGTTGTAAACCTACAAAAATGCGAAAGTTATTGGTGAAATAAAATAACGTCGACGGAACTTTTTGGCGCCAGATGTCACAAAGTCGCAATATCTAAGGGCAAAGAAGAAATAATGATATGTAATGTCACCAATTCGCAAGGGCAAAGAAGAGATAATGATATGTAATGTCACCAATTCGCAAGGGCAAAGAAGAGATAATGATATGTAATTCCTGTCGGAACATTCAAAAGATCACCAGCAGCTTGCAGCTTAAAGCAATAAATAAAACATGCGTTTTTTTAGTCCACATGGGTCAGACAATGGTAGCGATATAATGCACGGATTAATATCCAATATCCATGGTTTTAAGTTTAAATGTGACTAATGTGTGAACCAATCATTATTGGGTATTTTCCTTGAATCTGCAGTAGCCTTATCCGCCAATTATAGTCAGCACCGTGTTGTAAATTGTAATGTTGTTGTGGTGCCGTGGCAAGATAATGGCAGTCTTAAGAACCGTCCAGTCAAGGTTTAAGTTATAATTTAAATATAGACAATGAAACATTTCTATTCGTGGGAACTATGGTAACTAGTAGTGTTACTATGGTAACTAGTAGTGTTACTATAGTAACGTTTATTGGCAAAAAGAATAAGCCCCACTTTAAGTATTTAGTACATGAATGCATGAAGTAAAAACATTTATTAGTATTACTATTGTTTAATTAATAAAATACACATCCATACATTCATGAAA